ACACACAGCACACATCACACACACCACACAACACACAACACACACCACACACACCTGATACCACGCACCACACACACCACACACCACACACGCCACACACCACTCACCACCCACCACACACCACACACACCACACACACCACACACCAAACATACCACACACCACCCACCACCCACCACACACACCTGATACCACACACACCACACACCACCCACCACACACCACACACCACACACATCTGATACCACACACACCACACCACATACTACATATCACACACTATATACACCATACACACTTGACACCACATATACCACACAACACAGACAACACAGACACCTGACACCACACACAACATACACAGCACAAACCACACACACAACACACCTCACACTACATACACCACACACCACACACAACACACATCACATACCACACACACCACATACCACACACAACACACAACACATATCACATACCACACACCACACACCACACACACAACACAACACAGACATCTGACACCACACACAGCACACACACAACGCACCTCATACTCCACACACACCACACATGCCAGATGCCACACACACCACATATTACATACACCACACCCTGCAGACACCACACACACTACACATCCCACAATACACACACCACACACACTATACCTCACACAGCACACATCCCACACAACCTATGCCCACACTCCACACACGCTACATATGTTCCACATGCCCCACACACCACATGCACCCCGTACACCCCACAACCATGAACCACACACACACACTCCACACACACCACACACCACACATCACTCACACTACGCACACCACAAACAAGCCATTCACCACGCACACACTATGCATGCAGCAAACACACTTGCACACCAAATGCACTACAGACATGCACATTACACACGTGTGACGTACCACACTCACACCACACACCCTCGCAGGCGCCCCATCCTTCTGCTCTTGGTCTCAGGAGCCGGGCTTCTCCCTCTCCCCTCCCCCACCAGTGTGCTCACATGACCTGCACCTGCCCCCAGGTCCCTCCCTGCCTCTCTCCTCCAGGTGCGCACAGCCGGCTAGCCGCTTTTCGGCATGGACAGCCATTCCCTCTGTGTCAGCCAGTTCCCTGCCTTTTACAAATCTCTTTGTTCCGTCTCTACTTAAAAAGGGAAGATCCTCTCTCAACCCCTCCTGCTACATCGGGGCCCGGGGCTGGTCACACAAACTGTGCCATTCCTCAGACCCCGGATTTGGTTTCTGCCCATCATGAACAACTCCATGATTTGTGATACGTTCGCGGGGCTGCGCAGCCACCACCACAGCCACTGTGAGGACGTTCTCATCACCCCAAAGAGGAGCCCTCGCCCACTAGCAGTCACTTCCGCCTCGCCCAGCCTCAGATCGCCACTAATCTACTTTCTGTCTCTATAGGCTTGCCTGCTCTGGACAGTCATATACATTTGCCATGTTACTTTTTTAAAGAATTTTGTAGAGCAGTTTTAGATTCACAGAAACAATTGCGCGTACAGAGCAGAGTTGGCACACGCCCCCTCCCCACGCCAGCGCACAGCGCCCTCATTGTTAGCAACTTACATTAGTGTGACACGGTCGCTACAATTAACGAACCAATACCGATACGTTATTTTTCCCTAAAGTCCACGCTTCTTTCAGATTGCCTTAGTTTTTCTTTGATGTCCTTTTCTGTCCCAGGATCCCAACCAGGATCTCACATGTTTCCTCGCCACATCTCCTTGGGCTCCTCTTGGCTGTGACAGTTTCATAGAGTTTCCTTGTTTTTGATGACCTGGACAGTTTTGAGAAACACTGTTTGGGAGTAGCGCATGATTCCCCTCTATCGGAAGTTTTCTGATGTTTTCTTATAATTATGTGGGGTTATGGGGTTTTGGAATAAGATGACAAAGGTAAAGTGCCATTTAATGGAATGATATGAGAGGCCCCTACGTCAACATGACTACGGTGTGAACCTGAGCTGAGCCTGTGAGGTCTCTCCCTCGCACAGCCGCACCCCATGGCGCTTTCCACACCGCCCTCAGGAAGGGAGTCACGTGCACGGCCCACGTTTCAGGAATGCCCACCCTCCTGTAGGGTGGTATAGCTGTGTAGTTTATGTGGAATTCTTCTACATAAGAGATTTCTCTCTTCTCCCCCATTATTAATGTATCCAATCATTTATTTATGTCAGTGGGAACTCAGGGGCATTTATTTTATGCTTTAGGTTAGGGTATGATCCAGTACTATTTTATTTGTCTTCTTGCGCAAATGGTCTTGGCTTTGTCCACTGGGAACTCCTCTTTCATTTAGGTCCTGTGCCCCTTAACATACTCCCATCATTGCAGGGTTTTGTTTTAGTTTGGTTTGGTTTGGTTTTTAAACTTCCTTACTTTCTGGAACTACAAGGTGCTCCAAGCTTATTTGTATATTTCCTACCTGGCCCTAGAATGGGCCTTTCTCTGAGGAGCCCAGGACCTTTTACC